GTGAATTTCATAAAATATGTATGTATCACTTCGTATGTCTTCTGTAGACTCAACATGTTTAGACCAACTAGTATATCGAAAGTTGAATACGAAAATGATGTTGGATACGTATTTTTTTCGAACATCCATTAACGCAGACAGACAGAAGACACAAACAGAAGAAACTGAACAAACCGACTCGGTGACTAGTAGGTGACTCAGTGTTTATATGGTTGAAGGAGATACAAGTAAACATGTTGAGACACATTCATACAACACACACATACAATATCAAGGTCAGATAAATTAATAATTACGACCGAAGAGATTAGATTAATTCACCTATCCAGAGGTTAGAATAAATCACGTAGGCGTGTAGCTATATTCATTTGTTTTAAGTTAATTGTGATAAATGAAGCTCAGACATGTCAACAGTAAGACAAATAACACTTATTCATACGAATTGAGGACAAGATAATTCACAGATGGAGATGAGACGTATTATTTTTCAGCTGACATTAGTCTAATAATAGCATTTTTTTAAAAAATCGATCGAAACTACACCAACCACTCAATTAAATCGTATTCGAAGGTCATTCATATAGATTATCACAATATGGAATTTTCAGTAATGGCCCAAAACAAACAAGGTCACTTATTGTCTGTAGTCTACTTATTTTATTTATATTAAATTATGTGCATAGGTCAGTTTTTTTTTAAACATTTTGCAGAAGTGTGGTTATGTCATCACATGATAAGTTCGTTTATCGTCTAATCGGTGAAATACATTTATATACCGACATGGGTTCTAGTAAACTGAAGTGCATGTCACCTAAATGGTTAGATAGTAAAAAGACTCTCTGAAACGTATTCATCACAAGTATTTTAGAGAAGAAATTTAACTCTATTAGATTTTGACATTTATCTTGGGCTATAAGTTACATTTACTTCTGGATGAATCAATGTTTCGTGTTGACACATTGACTGTCATCTAAAGAGGATTTATTTTCCATCCACTGAATAAAGTTGAAATGATAATCAGTAACCAACTCAGGTTAATATCACCCAAATAATTTCAATCATCTATTGGCTACTTGTATGAAATTTCTAAAGTACGAAATTATTAATTTCCTAATATTTAATGCTTCCAAATTCGTATAGTGGTTAAAATTAAGCGATTCGAGTTAAACGGCTATTGTATTCGTCTGTTAGGTTATTTTCTATCAATAACCTCTGTCATATTAAAGAACCACTGATATATCTTTCCTAGTTTGATACAATTCAGTAACCTACATCAACAGTTAAACTTACGATGGAACATGGAAACATCACGCCGTCGGTGAGAATGATGGATTTACAAAACTGATTTTCACTACAGACCACATTTTAATGCAGTCAAATTATAAGAAAATGTGATTTCTAAAACATTGTCTAACTTGATGACAACATCGAGCTGAACTTCATCAAGTTCTAGTTGAATTCTATGATATGCAAAATTATACTATTTGTAAATTAGATAATAACTTATCAATCACATTGAAAGAAAATTACATCATATCACAAATTGACAAAAAATTGAAAATGTAAGACAATGAAAGTCATGAGTTGCATTCTGTTTATAGCTTTGAGTGTCTGCTTTTGAAAAGTCATGAGTTCTAATAAAACAGTTTATCAATACTCTCTGATTTTCAATGATTCTTTAATTGATGTCTATTCCTAATACGAAACTATTCTCAAAAGTACAATCAATTTCAAAGAAATTAAATGTTCAATTTTTGAAACAAATTACATAGATTATCAAAGCTTGCAAAATCAAATAACAATTTAAATTCACGTGTACCTATGTGATGTTCGAGTGATATTATGATAATTACTATTACTATCAGGTGGTGGTTGGTCAGACGAAAAATTTATTCTTCATATCTCTCAAGGTCAAAATATAAGTTGTCTACAAATAAATTGATTTCATGAATTTCCGAAAAAACTCCCCCAACAGATGTCTAGATATTAATAGAATATTTTCAATTCAGTGAATTAGTTGACAGAATTAGATGTTTATTTTTAAAAGCTACAACAAAGATGACAGTATTTGCAATTTTGTAAATCTGTTAGCTTTACAACAGACAAAATTCCACCTATGATATGATCTAGTTTAATGTGCAACTTAGAGGAATTTTTATGAAGGATAAACAACAGAATATTTCTTCCAAATAAATCAAATCACATTTAAGATTATCAGATATAAAATGAAAGTTTGTGTTTTGAAAATATAACTGATTTAAGTGGAAGACATGATGAACACAGAAACCCACTAAAAAATTTCTAGTTTCTTAACATGCATGAAAAGGCGAACAAATGTTATCATGTTATCTTGTACACATTTAAAATAAATTGTCTGCATGCACAGGTCTAGTCAAATCTAAAAATAAGTTTTTTTACACAAGTTCCCTTTTTTTCATTTGTCTCATCTTATCCTGTAAACGTGTATTAATGAATTTTTCCAGTAGGAATTTGAATGATACACAAATCGAAGCGGTCATTAAAACAACGACTTGCATCATTCAATTTCAAATCGTGTAACTCACCAAGTGAAAAAATCCATTCTGTTTTAGAACTCATACATCGATATAAATCTTGATCGATGAAAATTATTTGACTAAATATTTGATATATCTGTCATGTATCGACTAAACCTGTTCACTTCCATTTCTAACCAGTGACATCAATTATCTTGATAGTGATAGTGAAAAACTTGATAATTTAAGCGGTAACATTTAAAGATTGGTCACCCACGCATTCTTACAAATATAAAAATATTTTATTGATATATCTAGTCAATCAACCAGTTACATCGGGGAACTTCGTACGTACGTACGTACATCAGTTCAAGTTGCCCTACTACATTAGCACACAAAGATCGAATTTCCGATTCAAATCACGTAGTAGTAGAGATATTATTAGCGATAATGGATATTCATATATCTAACCACTTTTGGCTACAAGTTTAACCTGTGTGACCAAGTATTTCCTTGTGTAGTAAAAGTTTATTAATTTTTAACTAATAAAGCAAATTGTGTACAAAAAAATACCCCATTACATAAACAAAAGAAAAAGTCCAATAAAGTGAATCATTGTGTTTGATAATTTCTTATTCATCAGGCTTTGGAGTGTTATAACGATGAATTAAGAATATTTTCCACCAAATTCATATTGATTAGTCTATTCACATGTAAACAATGTAAATATCCTGTTTAAAAAGTCGTACAGTTATTTTGTATTCTTTAATTTTATCATTAGCGACTCACGCCTTGACTCCAGAGCTAAGTGAATTGGAGACGGTGAGTGAGCCAACTCTCCAGCTGTGGAGCAATGACTAAGTATTTATAGTCAGGCAATAATAAGTGTGTAACTTAACAATCTTCACAACCCCGTAATGCAAATTACCTGTGCTCACCAGTGACTAGCTCCTTGAGGAATCTTCTCCGAGTTCTAGTGGAAATTCGTGACTAGTGAAGTTCAACCTGTTCGGGTGTAGACAGCAACTACCGAACACTGTGTATGAAGTTGAACAACTCTATGAATTGATCGAAGATAGACATTGAAACCGTTAGATACCGGCCCAGTGGACCAGAGGTTAAGCGTTCGCGTACAAGACCGAGGGTCGTGGGTTCGAATCCTGCGAGACCTAGAAGAACCAAAAGAACATCTTATCCTTGTGTGAGACTTCTCAGCAATCAGAATTCATGACCAAGAATTTGAAAATCCAAACTGGGATCCTCGGTCTCGCACGAAACTCCGATCACTTGCGCAATATAGTGAATTGGTTAAAATGCGACATTACTCCTTCACATGCTGAGAGTAGCAGGAGTCGTGGATGCGCACTGCTGAGGAGTCCCATACCAGGAAGAATCGGCCGTCAAGTGCTTCCAGGTTTCTAATGGTTATCTAACATTGATCGATTCATGGTTTCGAAAATGTGTAACTTAACAATCTTCACAACCCCGTCATGGAAATGATAAGTTAGACATATGATGGGCGAGTAAGCATGCACACACACACAATCAAATATACAGTAATCGATATTGTAATCGAATTATTACAAATACGATAAATGGTCCAGTAATGTCCAATAATTAAACGACTCATCATTGAAGTACAATGAATAAATGGTGAGATGCTACACATGATTAGCGTTAATATTGTGAAATTGTCTAAACTCGGTGTACTGAGTCAGTTGGATCGAATGAAGTGGAAAGAATTATTTACCTACTTACTTACTTATATATCAGTTTATTTTTTCCTAGTTTATATCACGGAATTATTAGCATAATCACTAAAAACATAGAGGTCCAAAAGGATAGTGAAGTACTATTCAGTAGTGTGCTTATCCAAGATCCCATAGCAGATCAAACCCAGGAGCTGCAAGCATCAAGAAAAACCCTTAATCATCAGACCTTGAGCTGGTATTCAACGGTTAGTATGTTAGACTTATATCAATCAATGAATGCCAACTCATTGGTTTAAAGTTTGAACACTCATCGTGAAACATGTAGGTCATAGGTTCGATTGATGATAGGATGATGGATGGACGCTGCTGAGTAGTCCTGTAATTAGACAAAACAACCGTCTAGTATTGTTAGATCAGACAATATCTTCACAAAAAATGTAGAGAAATCTTTTTTTAATTTATAAATTGAGCGTTGGGTAAGAGATAAAAAAAAATCAATGATATTTAAGGTGATCTCTCAACGGATAGAAATTCAGATTTCAATTAAGGGATTCTTTGTTAATTTACATAATTCCTATAATTTATTGTTTTTTTTTTCATATAAAAAATTCAAATTTACGGTTGATTTGAGCAACCAATAAGAATTCTTCGTCATTTTATTGGTGAATAAATGCACAAATTATATTTTTACTTCCATCTAATAATCGATCGCGTACACAAAAAACGAGCAAATGACAATATAATGAATGGAAACACACTGTTGGTGAGGTTGTGTATGTGTGTGTTGTGTTGATTTGTATTTATCGGGTGTGTGTCTAGTTCCGAAAAAAAAGAATACTGGACTAATTGCACTTCACATGTGTACAATGACATATTGTTATACACATTGTTTGTGTAGGTGTATGTACAATGCATAAATTTCACAAAATGTGAGTTCCATTACCTGACGATTTGTACATCTAGCATCAAATCCTACATATTGGATAACAAACTGTTTTGAGTTTGTTTTTATTTCTCTCTGAGTAATGATGACATATACAAGAATTGGATGAATCCATATTGAAAACTCTTTTCCTGGTGCTTTTCTATTCATTATTTCAATTGAAAACAATGTCATAATCACTTACATTGATGCATGTATCTTATGCCATTATGAATTTCAAAAAACAAACTCTTTGTTCAAGTGTCCAATAGACGCATCGTATCTGGTCAGAAAAAAAGAATCAAAACAAATTTTTAAAAATAATGTTTCAAGAAAAATCAAAAGAGGAACAATAAATTACGAAAGAATTTTTGTGAAAAATTAAATCAATTATTTTTCAATTTTAAAATATCTAAAGAACAAAACAACAAAAAACAAAACATGAAAGTTGAATTCACTTTACCTTCAGCACTTCAATATGGTGATTGTATAGAAGTGAATGGTAAAGCTGGTAATAACAAGTAAGTAGTATATAAGAAAAAATTTTATATATATATATATATATATATATATATATATATATATATATATATATATATATATTTGAAATAAGCATTCTGATTTTATTGTAACATCATGAATATATTGGTTCTGGAAGAAATATCATTTACATTTTTCAAACTATCATGAAAGTACCAAGTACAACATACTCATTTCGGTTGAATATCGTCGCTAATAATATTGATCTACATGTGAACATTTGATTGTAAAGAGTGTTTGTATTTTTCTAAAGATGAAATTATCAATGTTTAACATTCATTTCTATTTGAGATGAATTAAAACATAGCGAATGTTTTTAAAATAGCATGAATCATCCATATTTGATTCATTATCTTTTATCGATTTAAAACAGTTTTACATTAACTCAATAATTAGCACATTAAACAGCGAATGATTTGGAAAATATATAAGAAGATTTTAGAAAGAAAAAAACATTCTAACCTTTTATGACTTGCATAACAGAGATTAAGAAATATTTTCGTAAGATTAGTTTTTTGTAGTTGTTTTTGATATACTTCAACCAATTAAATTTCAGCAATAAACATACAACTGATTAAAATCTTATCAAATTTTGCCTAGAATTGGATACTGATTAGGTGCATGCTATGGTAATATTTCATTTTCCAATAGACTATGGTTTATAATATAATAAGTTGATATTTTTAATTAGAGTTATGGAGATTAGTGTTTTTACTCATTTGTAATCATCGATCAATCATTGTTGGACGACCATTAGAAACCTGGACATACTAGACAGCCGTTTCTTCTGGTATGGGACTCATCAGCAGTGTACAGGAGTCGTGGATGCACACTGCTGATGAGTCCCATACCAGGACGAACAAGGCCTTCCAATGCTTCCCGGTTTCTAATGATGGTTTTAACAATTACTGATTGATGATTTCAAATGTGCAATAAGTTGATAAATATTTCTTGAATTTACGAAGAAACAACTGCCTCTAACTTATATTACATTATTATTATTATTATTATTATTTCATTTCCTTATTTACACAAATTAAAAAATGATATTTAATTATTTCATGTTATTCTAACATTTATTATTTCCAAATACATGGAGTATTAGTTTTTGTAAAGTTTAACATTTTCTTTTGTATTAGTACAACAAATTGTTTAACATATTTAATGAAATTCATTCAATAACTACCAGTTAAGTTTTATTTATTTTTAAAGTTTAAGTACAAACATAATTTGAAATGATCAGTAAGAAAATACTGCAGTTATGTTTACATTTATTTTTCTTGAATATCATGGTTAAATGCACTAGTTAAAACAATTATATGAGAAATAAAAAAGTATTTTATTGATTCCAGCTGTTCTCTTAATCAAATTATCTAGTTCATTGGAAAAGAAAATAATTTCTAAGTCAGTATAAGCTTTCCGCTTCATAGTTCTCAGTTATCATGATTTTAAATCTATCACATTCGAAGTGAATAAAAATAAGATATCATTATTTATAGTATTGCATTTATGCCAACAGTGTATGTTGACTTGTACGAAATGAGATGTTATTATAATTTCGAAAACAAAACTATTTTTTGCATGAAATTTCATTCAATTCTATGATAAATTAAACTAAATGTTTCTAGGAGAAATGTTTGATTATCATATTTATGTTGATCAGTATGATAATTAGACTTCGAAAAAAAAATTGAAAATTGTACAAGAGACTGAGCTTAAATGAAACATGGCAACTTTTCCGCTAGTTCGTAGTCAATTAGAAAAGAAATTAGCCTTTGAAATAATCGATAATTTTATAGGAAAAGAAACAGTAATATAGCAAAGTTTTAACAAATTTTACATTTTTAATAAATAGTCTTTTTGTGAATTGAAAAGCGATACTATAAAAAATCGACCTTATGAAAATAGATAAGCCATTTTTGCCTGTAAAATGTAACAGATAGCAAGTGTTTAAGAGTTTGATATGTTTAAAATTGTTATTTTTACTTTGTTATGATAAAAATTCGTTTTTTTCTCTATCAACTTAGACAGTTTAAGCAATAATAAAAGGTATTTTGACATCTTGTTTTAGGTGATATTTGAATTTCGCGCAAAAGCCTATAGGTTATGTTCTTGTTTCTGACTGGCTCTTTCCTACATGATACATTTTCGGAAGACTTTTAATGTATCTAGTCTTTATTGACTGTCGTTTTGGTTGAAACGAAAACAGACAGTTAATTGAATTATCAGATTAGCGAAGCTGTTAGAGTCAGTTCACTCAGAGCTGGCTGTACATTGCTTGACTGACTCTATCCAATTTATTACAGTATGTTAATGTTACAGATAAATCCTTGTTCTCGTTCGATGTGTCATCATTATTCGCATCAATCTCACTGTAAGAAACTTTGAACATTATATACCAATACATTGACCTTCCTGACCATTTTAAATAATGACTTCAAACAGCTCTGACTAATGTACACAAATGACGTGCAGTTCCAGAGTAACAATACCTTATTTCTTCAAATCGATGAGGTAGCTCTGGGTAGTCTGTTATGCACAATCTTAGTAGATATATTTACGACCAACTTAGAACAGATAAATTTACGGACGATAGTTGACGAGGCAGCCTTGTATGCCAGTTATGTTTACGACACATTTAACACTTGCGATAACAAAGAACATGCTTTGAATATTCTGTTACCTCTTAGTCATGCACATCCAAATATACAATTCACAATGATGCATCAATGAGATAAGTTTCACTTTCCAGAAATAATGAAAACAGCTGAATTCATACGTTTATTCATCGACAGGACCTATGGAATAGACTTTATTTGAATTTAATAGCTTCTGTCTGATAAGTCATAAAACAGCTTTGATCAGAACTTTGTTAAATTGAGTACAAAAATTATGTCCAGAGGACATAATTGAGGAGGAATTAATCTTTGTTGAAAAATATCTTCAGGATAATGGTTACTCACGGAAGTTTATCAAGAAATATGAGAAGATAAGAATCAACGTAAGAGAGAGTGCTAGAGTGGAAAAGGAACCTGTTTTCATACGACTTGGATTCAAAGGTGATGAATTATCTGGCAAGATTAATTCTGAGCCTAGAGCTGCATTGAAAAGGACTTATCCAACAGCAAAACTGTTCGCACTAAATCGAACAGTGTGCTCAATCAGACAATCGAAATTGGACATATGCTCACCGCCAATTATGTATCCTACTTTATATGTGCATACTGAAGCAAATACACTGGGAGAACATAAAGGGGGATAAATGTTCTCATCAATAAGCATATTGTTTTGAAAGTTTAACTTGCCTTCAAAAAATTAATTGCTCGTTATCAAATTGATCGTGAACTTAAAGTTGAAATTTTATAATCGTTCAAAATTATTACTGCCAAGTAATTGATATCAAAAAATATAAACCAAACTTATGTATTCAAAAAGACACTATTATCAACCTTACTTTGCCTCAGCAACTAACTGTGATAATTTTGCCTATAAATGAAAATTAATTCATTCTTTTAACTACCTTAGTTTTTACACATTTGAAATCATCAATCAATCAGACCACACCACTGGAAACCTGGAAGCACTGGAATGCCGTTTCGTCCTGGTATGGGACATATCAGCAGTGCGTATCCACGACTCGTGCTCCCGGCAGGATTGGAACTCGGGACCTTCGGTCCTAGGCGCGAACGCCTAACCTTGAAGTTATATTGAGAAGATGTGACCAGTGGAGTTCACCTCCGTCGGGTGTAGTCAGTAACTACCAAAGGCAAATGGGTGAGGTCGCGCAAAATCTGTTGATCGATCACAGTTAGATATTAACACCGTTAGATGCCAGCCCAGTGGTTCAGATGTTAGGCGTTCTCGCACAGGACCGAAGGCCCTAGGTTCGAATCCCGTGAGGTGCAGGAGTCGTGTATGCGCACTGCTGATGTGTCCCATACCAGGACGAGACGGCTGTCCGATACTTGCATGTCTCCAATTGTGGTCTAACAATGATTGATTGATGATTTCAAATATTCACTCTACTTTGGCTATGATAAAAATCAAATTTTTAACTACAAATTTTTAACGATATCAAATTTAGTTGATTTCAACAATGAAATCCGGAAAGTTCAAAATATTTAATCAACTTTAAATAGGCTTAAACAGTAGTTGGAATTAAGTTTATTCAATTTACACAACTTGTAAGTTAACTTTTCCTGAATTTACCACTCAGCACAGTAGTTTTCTTAAAGTACTTGTAAACTGACAGAATAGATTAAGCTAATGTTTGTTGAATTCCTTAAATTCTTTCCACCTTTTTTTCTTATAAAATCTGATTGATGATTTAAACTTAACACTCGATTACATAGAAGTTTTTAATGATGAAGTTGAGATTTCATCTTTCCTACTTTTTTTAAAAAAAAAATAGAATGTTTATGTGTAATTGATAATTAATGTAAATGCATTAAAGAGTTTTGGAGGTTTGTGTTTTTTACGCACTTGAAATCATCAATCAATCATTGTTAGACCACCACCATTAGAAACCTAGAAGCACTGGACGGCCGTTTCGTCCTGGTATGGGACTCATCAGCAGTGCGCATACACGACTCCTGCACATTGCTGATGAGTCTCATACCAGGACAAAACGGCCTTCCAGTGCTTCTAGGTTTCTAATGATGGTCTAACAATGATTGATTGATGATTTCAAATGCATTAAAAATTGTTTGATTAATGGTATTGCTTCAAAATTTAATTTGCATAAACACTCATATTCATAGATAACTTTCAATGACAGAGAATTCGTATTCATTTTTTCTGAAAAGAATAGTTGTTTGTTTAAGGATTATGTTGTCGGGATTAAATTAAATTTCCTAGCTGTATTCATCAAAGATTAGTCTCATTTTTAGCACCAGATAAAATTACATCCTAGTTTGGGACTTCTTCTCCCTTTTATAAATTTTGATAGAACACAATGAGAAGACGTAACTGATTTGAAAAA